ATAATCAAATTACTTGTGGTGCTTAAGCTTACAGCTCGCCGGCGACGCGTAGTTAAACGTTGCAGTGGCATCTAGCGGCAATCAAAATTAAAAAATCTGCAAAAAAAAATCACAAATATCCTGAATTCGTAGAATATATTCCAAATATGATCTTTGACACAAAAACAGATTAAACTTACCGTGTTCCCGCCTAAAGGCACTCGTCTGGTCTATTGGGCATGTCTATTATAAACAAACTACCAGATTCAATAAATAAAATAATTAAAACGATTTCTAATTTGTTAAAGCTATTACAGTCAGAATGAATGTCTAGACTTACTTATAAATTTATTATATTTTATTTTGTCTTTGATGTTGTAGAATTATGATTATTAAATTGCCAGACAACTTATTTTATTTTTGATATGAAGTCCTCCTCTCCGTAAAGTGTTGCTGTGCCCGATAGGGGCCATTGTTTGATTCTGATATTACGAGTATTATGTTGTAACATCTCTGTTACACTATTGTTTGTAATAAACATTTGAGTATTGAGTATTGTAAACAAAGCCGTGCTGTTTGTTGTTAAGCCGTTTCAATGTGTAATAACCATCAGCGGGTTGGAAACGCTTACATTTTCGTTTTGAGCTATACTTGAATCGCGTTCGTTTAAACACGATGCAGCCTCAGCCTGAGAAGATCGATTACCTTGTGGTTAGCGCGCTCGGTCTGCGTTACGGTTGTTAAGCAACTTTCGTAATGGCCGGTCATAGGATGGGTGACCAAAAATTTATAATCTCAACCTCCTTTGTGGTTCTGAAGGCTCAACCAGCCATTGTTCCTGGATGCATCTGATTCTGCAGACGTTAATACCAACCAATTCGTAATAAGCCCGCGTGTTATGTCATTTGCTCTATACGATTTAATTCGATTCCATCCGTAAGCCCCAGAAGTGCTGATATTTATAGGCTTTTAATAACGATGATAAGTCTAAGCCTGATACCACGTTATTTATTAGGAACATATATAGTTTTCAAGTTATCTTACCTTCACCGACGCAAAAGAAACTCATCTACAGAAATTAGCAATCGAACTTCAGATATAAACCCATTCGCTCCGAGTTCTCAGCGAACCATAACTATTCCACGTTACTTTTCTCGAGGCGATGAAGCAAACTAACTCGTTCTCGTTACCAACTTTAGTTTCTGGATCAACGAGTTGAACTGAGTTCTAGGTTGTTTTGTTATTGACCCGTTTCTTTTATAACTTTGTAACTAACATATGTACTACTAGATTTAATAGTAACTATGTATAAGTATATTATTTTACACATACTTTCTTTAAAAAAAAATCTATATTTAAACAGAATTTTTATGATAAATGGCTCCAGTTTACTGAAATCTATAAATGAAACATCTTTGAAGCGGTTTTATCGTGTTTATATTTTTCTTTTATTGACGTTTCGGACCCTCTACAGGTTCCGTGTTCACATAAGACTTATTTATCCAAGGCTACCGAAAGCAAAAAGGGACTTAATTTCGCTGTAACACCTCGCAGAATACCTTATAAGTAAATAGTTTGTAACGTTGAAGACTGCTTAGTGAAAAACAACATGAAAAAGGAAGATGTGGAGGCATTAAGTCAAGATATTTTATCTGTCTTACGCCGGAGCAAACCGCCGAAACTTCATTTTCCTCGCGATTAATATTTAGCATTAAAAACTTATGATCTAAGCCGGAATTAACCAGATTATACTAGAAAAATATCAGAACTGCCATCGGATGAGAATACATACAAATCTGTTAAGAGTGATCCGACTACTAAGTGATCTCTTAAAATGACTCCGATTCGCTGGATCTGAACGTTTAACATTTGATTCCTGCCTGTCTTAAACCACCGAAGCTATATGGGTTGCCGAAAATACACAAAGTGCTCCGCTGCGACCGAAGGTTAACCAAACCGATTTAACCAACCTACAAATTGACTCGGCACGTAGCTAAGATACTCTCACCACTTCGAGGTAACACTAAAGCCTTTGTGAAGAGTTCATACAGTTTCATCTGTGAAATTAAAGACATACGTCTCGCAGACAATGAAATTACGGTCAGTTTCGATGTCCAGATTCACATGTCTACCAGTATAGGACTGCATTGGAGAGTACTAGAAGGCTGACTGGACACCATCTATGCCAATTGAATATACAGAATTACTGGAACATTACCTTACATCGGGCTACCTTCTGTGGAATGGTGAATTCTATTTGCAAGTAGAAGGTGTGGCGATGGGTTCTCCTATATTACCTATAGTCGCTGATATTTTTATTGAGGACTTTGAGGAGAGGGCTCTACGCAGAGCACCTATCCAACCCAGACTGTATAAACGGTACGTAGATGACACCTTCACTGTTTTACTTACAGATAAAATTTCTGCTTTTTTAAACCATCTTAATTATATGAACCTAAGATCCAATTTACTAAAGAAGTGGAGGTCTGCAATAAACTAACCTTTTTAGATAAATTGCTCGTTAGGAATCCTGATCAAAGCTTTAGCCACACTTTATCGTAAAGTAACACATACTAATAGGTACCTCAATGTTGACTCACACCATCATCCTAAACAGTTAGCTACCGTAGGGAACTCTTTGTTTCAGAGAGCACAAGGCATCTGTAACAAATCACCACCTGACAGCTGAGCTTCAGCATCTCAAGCAAGTACTGGGGGATAACAAACTACATGTGCCACGCCTCAGTCACAAAAAACGGGTCGAGTCTACCACAGTCGAGCGTCACTTCTGTACTTCATACATGAAAGGTGTCACGGACTAAATTGGAAGGATTTTGAAACGAGCTTCTATCAATACTTACTTTAAGCCGTCAAAGAAGATCAACCAATTTTTAAGACCTGTTAAGTGTAATATCCCCTTTCAATTTATAGGTGTATATAATGTGAAAATAAATGAAGTCTGTTTTTTATCATAGAGATGTATGATGCGTTTATAATTATTTTTTTAATTACGTAATCCGCATATTATATTGTACTTGATTTATCTAAATAAAAAAGAAGATCAAGCAATAAAGAATTTTACAAACTTTTATTTCACCTTCAATGCATGTATTAGTTCATGTAAGTTGCGACTAGTTTTTGTTGCAGTTATTTTCAATCGATTAAGCTGAAACATGTATAATTAGGACGACAATTGTAATGAAACTTAAAGTTTCAACCACACTTTCATACTGTTCTGGATATACGTCTTCACACCATCGCGTCTCGAACAATAATGCCCCTAATACAAGCTAGCAAGACAGAAAAACTAGTCAAAACAGTCTTTTTTTAAACCGTTTCCGGATAGGTCACATTATTTTATTATTTAGTTCTTAGTCCTGTTTTGTGAATAAATTAATTTGACTTCATCAGCATTTTCTTAAAGCTTTCTAAGTACTAGAACTCAACGATAATAAAGACCCGGTAACGAAACAATGGACTTGGCTTTGTATAATGTAATCTTGTAGTAAATCCTCTTTCAACCTCTTTGTCTACTCTGGTTTTTAACAGTTAATAAAGGCGTTTCAGTAAAGGAGTTTCAGTTATCTACCTCTATTATTATGAGATACAATTTATTTAACAATCAAATGATTGAAGATGGAATATCACTATATTATGCATTTGGTTAGACATCTAAAGATGGCGCTGAAAATCATTGAATCAATTTCACGTATTATTAAATAAACTTTTTTCAATGGTATGTTTATAATTGTTTATAATATTTTTATGCTTATGGTTCTAATTTAATAGATAGGTTGTAGGTATTTAGGGTAGGTGCAGTGTATTCTCTACTTTAATTTTTTCCTTTTTAAATTGTCATCTAAATCTTTACTCCCTTCACTTTCATGTTATTCTCAATAGGGTCTACTCATTTGCTATTCATATTTTCTGTGGTGTTTTGCTCTCAATCAAAAGCTTGGAAAATGAGAAAGTATTCGTATTTAAGAAAAAGAGAAAGAACTAAAAAAGCATCTCCACTCTATCTATTTTTGCAGGAAATGAACGGACCAAAGATAGTCATTTCCTTTCTTTTTAACTAACATATTAAAAAACTGAAATTTGAAAAGTTTTAAACTTAGATATCAATACAAATACGAAAAAGTACAAATAGAATTTGAGTTGTTTATTGAGTTTTGAATACTAATTTACTTTTATACATGAAAGAAATCAAGAAAGTACCGTAGCGACATCTAGTTTGATTTCGTGAACTAATCTTGGCTTTTTTAAATACTTCCTCATTACACTATTGTACTCTATATATATAAGGTCGTTCGTTATCTAAATATATATAACTCAAAGGTGACTGACTGACATAACGATCTATCAACACACAGTTCAAACCACTGCACGGATCGTGCTGAAATTTGACATAAAGGTAGATGTTATGACGTAGGCATCCGCTAAGAAAGGATTTTGATAAATTCCACCCCTAAGGAGATAAAATAGGGGATGAAACTTTATTTCAGGAAGTTTTTTTTTACCCGATATATTGAATAAATATTCGTTAGAAATGCTGCTCACAGTAACTTTACCACGCGGACGAAGTCGCGGGAATAAGCTAGTATCTATATATAACGAACGACAGGGCCGAAGCGTTTACAAGTTTTTGTACGTTTAGAAGCGTTTACAAGTAATATTAAATTGCTCCAACTCTATCTATATTAGACGAGTTGCTCGCACGCTGATTACGTGGTGTCACCTGAGGTTACAGGTTCGATTTCCGATAGGGTCTTTATTGAAAATTTGCTTTTCTATATTGTATGGGGTTTGTTATATCGGGAGACATTGGTTGTTTTAGATTTTATAAAACATGTGCTTTTACTACTTGAAGCTATATGTAAGATATCGTTTAATATAAAGAGTAATATGAAGCCACAATAAAAAAATATATAAAAAATTATTTAGCTAAATCGTTTAGTAAAATCAAATCTAAGTTTTATTTGGTTGATGTGTAACGTAATCCATATTTTTTTTCCGAACAGGCGTGTCTCATGACCGGTCGTACGTGTTATTCCGGTTGGGACGACGCGTCTCGTCACCGGTCCGACAGTTCACCGAGACCGGACGGTCGGACGCGCTCGGGTCGCCGCCCGGCACTATGGACGTTTTCGGTGCGCCGGCGATCGCTCAAGGTGCGGGTAGAACGGAGGCGGAATTCTTCGTTGACGGAAACCATTCTAGGGTGAGTTATAGATTGAACGCTACTTTTTTGTCGTGCTTAATCTTATAAATGCCAATAACGCAGTTGTGTTCCATTTTTAAGCAACTTTCGCAAGGGTCGGTCAAGGGATGGATGACCAAAAGTTTATCATCTCGAGCTCCTGCATGCTTCGGAAGGCACGTTAAGCCGTTGGTCTGGGCTGCAGCTGTGGTCGTTAACACACAATGCATGGTGGATCACATTTGTAGGCTAATGATAATGATACACAACCAAAAACACACTTTCGCCGGATTCAAACTAAAATTAGTCTTGTTTGTTGTAACAATATACCATCTTTATATTTACTCCTGCTATCTTGTGGGACTTTTACCATGTGATTTTTGTAAGCGAAAAATATGATGGCCTAAAAAAAATATTTCGACCGTCAGTCAGATTGTTTGTGCGGGTGCGGTGGACTCGTTCGCGGACCTTACTGGAGTAACTCGTCCGCTCCGCCGTGCCGCTCGAAGAGGTGCGGGTTCGTGCTGATGGTGGCTTAGTAGTGTTACGGGTTCGGTGCTTGGGTCAATTAATAAGGCTGCTTCAGCTTGAGTATAATTTATTAAAGTAATAAGGGTAATAATAAAAAACCCTTGTCGGGCTTCTTGTTACACTTTTGATCGTACAAAATACAGATTTAATTTAGTAAATATGTTATATTATTGTATCACCATAATATATGAATTATTTAAACATTACATATTAAAATTTATACCAATAATATTGTATTATATTAGAATTTCATCTTGTGTATATGGGAATTTCTTACGAACTGACATCCATAAAGAGTATAATTGATTAGTCAAAATTTTAAATTACGAAAGACGAATAATAAAATGAAATAATGTTGAATTACAAAAACAAAAAGTTTGCATACTGAAACCTAGGAAAACAAACGGTGGCATGGCACACCGTTACAGTAGGTAGAGGAAGTACCTCCTCTACGTTGACGATCTGGGGTGCTTCACTCCTGGGACTCCTCTAGTCAAACGATGCTTCTCGTAATCTATACTTGTTTATTTTCCCCTCAGTATTGTATTACATATGGCTCCTCGCCGCTATGATATATTACATTTGTAATTGATATTACACTCAATAGTCACATCAGACCATTGGTATCACTTATTCTATTTAGTATGACATGCGACGCGTAATATAGTAATTGTTACTATCTAATGCGGCTGCTACGCCGTGCGTGACCATACTCTAAGACGGCTTGGGTGAGACTCCAAAAATATCCTGAGAGCGGCGCTGCGTGCGCCCGCGTCGTATAGGGATGTGCGCGTTTCGTACGAATACAAATAATAGAAAAATATTAGAAAAAAATAGCTTATACAATAATAGGCATTAAAGATGACAAGTGGGGGCTCGCTCCGTCACAGTTTTATAAAAAATGTACAAAAGCGTGACGTCATGTGACATTTTAACTCAATGTATTGGTCGTATTTTAATGATAGCGACAAAAGTTAAATAAAAATCCTGTATAATATTTTTCAACAATCTACCTGATGGGCAAACAAAATACAGTAATTTGATAAATTTTAGCATTCATATTCATATTTCTCTATTGTATAGAAAAATATTCATAGAATATTCTCTTAGTACCTGGAAGTTTGAATCCCAGCTCGGGCACCGGAAACAGTTTCTTATTTCCTTTATGATTATTATGCATTACATCATTAAATAATATAATTGAGGGATCTTGTCTGTAGTTTTAACTATAACCGGTGATTTATGAATGTTATAATTATTTAAATTATAGGTTTATCGTAATTAAAAGTAAAAAATCTTAACGCATTTATTGTGAATGTCATAAAGAATTTTTGGCAGCTAGTACGAATGGGCATTGTAAATAGAAACAATAAATATGTGATACGCTATATAATAATAAATCACAGCAAATCATGGAAAAGAAGTAATTGTAAAAAAATAACTTATAAAACCTTATGGTGTCTGTCGCCAACAATTTTAATTAATAAAAGAAACCGATCACTAATTGAAAACCTCAATTATGGTCAACATTAATCGTTTCATTTCTCCAGCAACAATATATAAAAGTGAATTCCAATTACGATAATGATATGCCAGCACAGGTAACATTGTGAATCCAATTATTGGAGACAGGTAACTATTCTGACGTAGAGATAATTGAAAACAAAAATAGCTATGAGGTTGACAATCAGAAAAATAAATTTCGAACCAACAATAATGATCGGCGGACACGCCGCCAATAACACCAAAATATCGTATGTCATCACTAATTAATGCTGGTGAGCAAATAGCAATTACGATACGTCAGCTGGCCGGTGGAAAAATAAATAAATCGTAGAAGAGTTTGTAACAAAAGAGGGGGGAATTATAGGCGCCGACGTTTTATTGGCAGTTAAACCTAATTTCTGTTGTTTGCTGTGCAACATGAGTTTGTCTATGGCACTTGCGTTAACTGTATCTGTTTCCTCCGAATCGATAGGCCGCGCCTCTTTTGTTTTTCTTAACCTCCCCTCGTTTTCTCCTTGGCCCACTCGGCGAACTAATGAGAATTACCTTTAATTTATCAGTTTTCAATTTATCAATTGCACGCAAGATCTTTTGGCATTGACCCTGGGATAAAAAAGTCGGTTTTTGAGTTTGTGAGAATAAAGTATGTATGTTTGTTAATCTATCACGCAAACACTACGGATTTTGATGAGTCTGAATTGATACGATCGAAGCCATTGCTGGAAAGCTAGTGAAAAAATGATATAAAATTTTATATAGTTACAAATTCACGGTATGAAACATAACAGAAGAAACGAACGCATTAGTAAATTTCTCACTGGTGCGACACAATTTAGGATTCTATGTTACAGATTTGTGTGGTTCGGGAGTGTTTATTTATAATTTATTTTATTTTGAAATTGAATTCTTCGAATTATGTATTATACATTACATAATTTAAGTTTCTAAAGTTCAGAAGAAGAGTTTGATTCTTTAAAAAGCAATCGTTATAATTCCTAAACTACATATTAGACTTAAATATTTTATGATATGGATTGATGGTTAATTTAAGTTCAATGTATCAAAATGGGTCATATATATACATAGTGGTATCGAAGATTTGTATAAGTGTTAGAAATGACATGTGTTAACTTTTAGTAAAACAAAACTATTTTTTTTCGTTTCAAACACCGTTATATTATATGTAGTGAATGAGCAAACATGTATCAGAGGCTGACTAGTGTAAAATTATTAAATCCTGACAGTAAAATAATAAAAACATTAAACTGAAACACAAAAAATAACTACTTATTAAATTAGAGCAAGCTCTATAAGTAATTTAATCATTGAATGATTGAAAACGGGAGAAGAAATATACACCATTTACATAATTAAACAAGGAAAAAATCCTTTCACCAATCAATTAAACTATTTAGATAAATAAAGTACTATCAGAGACACTCCTTTCGGTCATTAATTTGTCGCTCCGTAGATTCAATACCTCACTTGATAGGTTAGAATGAAAATAACATACAATATCGTGCACAAAACCCACCATTTTGTTTTTTTTTTCATAGTGTAGCCAGTGGGACCCGCACTATAAAGAAGAATCTAGTGATACTTCATATACACATTAATAGGCTGATTATAATGGTGATGTTTTTAAAGTGCAACTTAACATATAATAAGTAAATGTAATAACTACGTTAATAATCTAAATATATATAACTCAAATGTGACCTACTGACAAAGTGATCTATCAACGCACAGCCCAAACCACTGGACGGATCAGGCTGAAATTTGGCATGCAGGTAGATTTTATGACGTAGGCACCCACTAAGAAAGGATTTTGATCAATTCTAACTCCAAGGGGATAAAATAGGAGATGAAATTAGTATGAAACTTTGTCAATTTTAAACCGATCGAGCTGAGACTTTGCATGCGTAAAGTTACAATGACGTAGGCAACTCCTAAAAAAGAATTTTGATCAATTCTACCCCCAAGGGGATAAAATATGGGATGAAACTTTATTTCAAGTATTTTACACGATATAATGAATAAATATTGGTTAGAAATGCTGCTCAAAGTTACTTCACCACGCGGGCGAAGTCGCGGGCAAAAGCTAGTTTTAAAAATATATCACGTTGAAACCTTAAGAGTCTATTATTCAAAGTAATGTTTTAACACTTCATCCTTCCATAGAACCTTTTGGTTTACTATGGTCCGTTTATTCTAAAGTATATAAAATAAAGGAGAAGTTCGATTTCACCTAGAAAAATACTTTAATAAAGCAACTTGGCCTAAAATATAAACAGTAAGGAGACAATTCCAAAAAATAGATGTTTGAAATATACATGTAATGTAACATCTATAACATATACATATTATATTTCAAGTAAATTTATTTATAGATAATAATATTTTAGCTGAATATCTTAATGATTTGCGGCGTCATAATTAGAAGATAATGAAATAATCCGTGAACAAGAGCTCTTTGATGGTTCTAATTAAACTCATCATTAAGTCTCTTGGATGAGCTTTGTCCAAGCTCAATAATTAATCGTACAACTTACGCTTGGGTACGTAATAATATGCGAAAGGATAGACCCTATTATATTTGATAAATAAAAATAAACAAGGAGTTATTTCGGATCCTTGTCTAAAATACCTATATTATTAAATATTGCCCATATACGCAGAAATATAATATTCAATTAAGATATGTATATAGTAAAAAAGGTCAGACACTAAATGACATATATTATAAAATAATTCTGCAAAAGAGGGTTCACCAGGTTATTTCAAATCAAATAAAAAAACCAAATTTGTGAAAAATTACTCTTGAAAACCACAAAAGCAGTTAACAAATTCAATAAACTAATTGAATTCGGGTCAGGATTTAATGGCCAAATTACTTTTTTAAGTTGGTTTTTGTTTGTGAAAAATAATTTTTACTATTGAATTTTAAGTGATTCATCTTCAAGATAATTCAGAGGATGTAAGTGTTTCATTTTTTTTATATGTAATCAATTCGTGAATATACACCTTCAAATAAAAAAAAGATATCTAAATCGGTCCACTGACTAACAAAAATGTCACGGAAGTTACAAAAAACATTGAGACAAATTTAAAATCTCCTTCTTTTTTGAAATCTCCTAAAATTGAATACGATCCACTTATTTTCAATATCGTTTCATAATTATAACACAAGTTAGTATTGTGTTAAATAATAAGAAATAAAATGTGCGTATACTTGATTATCTTTACAATAAAGCCGCGTCTGCATGCCAAACCTCAACAAGCCAACACAAAGTCAAACGCATTGCGTTGCATGGAGCGTTTGAATTGGTTTCTGTAGGTTTGCAAGTAATTGTAGCTGAAAAATCAAAGGGAATTTATCGCAAATATTTCCGAAGCGTTCAGATGTTTGCGCATTTGTTGAAGTTTGGCGTTTGTGGCAAATAGTAATTACATGGCACCAAACGTGTCAAGAATAATCTAGATACAAAAACGCATTCCTGGTTTTTATCAGGTAGTGTAAATTATTAAATGCTTGATCCAAAATTAGAAACATAAAACACGCTCCTTTCTCGTATAAACGAATATTGGCAACATAATGTATAACAAATTAATAATTAACAAAGTTGAATAAGTTCAATCGGAAATACCTTCAGAAAAGGGCTGGAAGAAGACGGATGTCACGTTCCCAAAATACTTTTATTAGGTAAAACTCGTTTCGGAACGGAAATTAGAAAATCACAGGTATATCCTCAGTAAACGCTCACTCCGACCATAGCCGTTCTCGATTGACGATAGCCTGGTGATGACATATTAATTAGTGAAGTCTGGCTGTTATAAAATATGCCATAAAATTATGTTACGTAAATTCATATCTGTTTGAATACATTTTACGAGTTATGAACATCGTAACATTTCGAGTTCCATATTTGATAATTACTTGGCTTGGCATTCAATGAAATATAACACAATTTACAAAACTTATATAAGACAGTTCCATACTAATTAATTAACAAAATTATTTCCCATAAAGTAAAATTAAGTTTAAAATTTAATGAATACTGACAATAAATAATTAGCAAAAGAAATAGTGAGTATGAAGAAAAAGAAAGTTAGTATAGACTTTAACTTTGTGGCAGACATTATAAGCCTATCCAAAGAATTCTTTGAAATTTTATACAAACAATAATAATTTAAGTTTTATTTCACAGGTGTCCGTAATGGCTCGAATGATACCATCTCCGGACTGGTTTATTGGGGTTGACAGTTTCGATCTCTGTGTTGATGGCAACTGGCTGGACAGCATCACTATTGAGGTAAATGATTTCAGCATATGCACTAGTAATTAATTCTACATTAGTTATATTAATAAGTAAGTAGTTGTTGAATTTCTCACCGCTTGGTCCACGTGTATTTGCTGATGTGCTGACGTTGTACATGGAATATCAGAAACGTCTATGATGGTGCAAGTAGCAAAATATAAATATCATTAAATTATATTAACTACTCGCCTTTGTAAATGCTGTTTTAATAATATATACTTATAATAAATCTGTAGAGAGGTCAATTCTGTACATGAAATATATTTCTCAAATAACTATCAGGGGGTGATTAGGGATCGATACTGATGCCAAAAATGCAATCAGTAAAAATCCGTTATAGAAACAAAAACTACTCGACGGATTTTAACGAAACTTGGTACAATTATTTTTCATGCTCCTGAGCTAGTTATAGTATACTTTTCATCACGCTACAATCAATAGGAGCAGAGCAGTGAAGGGAAATGTTGGGAAAACGGGAGAAGTTACTCCATTTTTTAAGCTTCCGTCGCGTGTGCAACCTTAATTGTTAAAGCTACCCAGAAATCATGAATGACGGAAGTGTTCTCCTTAAAATTATATAAAAAATATCCCACGACAGCATATGTGTATCTTTTATGGTTGACTCACAATAACACGTGTAACTTCCGATTGCTTAGCCGTTCGAAGCTTTCTGATTGTATTTGTCTATTGTCTACTCTTACGTTTATAACACTCTCAGTCATCCCTAATTAAAAAAGTTAACAGTATTAAGTATTCCATAAAAAAGAATCATAGAAATCGGTATAAAAACACCAAAGTTATACATGAAATACGCCAATAATAAGCCATCGCGCATGAATACTGAATCATGCTAGCTGGATTGTTCTGGCCAGTATTTCATCTATACTAATATTTTAAAGCTAAAGAGTTTGTTTGTTTGAACGCGCTAATCTCAGGAACTACTGGTATGAATTAAAAAATTATTTTTGTGTTGAATAAACCATTTATTGAAGAAGGCTTTAGGCTATATAACATCACGCTGCAACTATTGGGAGCGAAGAAAACGCGGACGAAGTCGCTGGCGGCCACTAGTCATATTATAAACGATGTAATGTTTTTTTTTTTCAATAATTTTGATAAACTCCTGTTAGATAACAGTGATTTCTTTTTTATAGCCAATATTTCTAATTCCGCAAATATGTTAATTTTGAGAATAATATGTACGAATAATACTATTTCGTAAATCTCCGTGTAACGTACTAAACAAACTTAGAATATTTTAACTGTTCGTTTATAGCATTTCATAAAATCCAACTAAGAATTGAAATTGGCGTTGTCATATTAGACGATCGATGTTACATTTCATAACTACTATATTAATACACTGTACCTCAATCCCATAATACTGATAATGGTCTTGATATGTAACTTGATATCTAAAATTAATTTCCGTATGTATATAATGGGAACAACGGATAATGTTGAAGCTAACTATACTTCTCTTCTATAGTATCAGTTAGTTTTGAGATGTTTTAAGAATCTAAGATATCACATTTTCGATCTAGGTGGATCCTTTGGATGCAGGCACAGACAATGGATTCACATTCACCGCTCCCAACTGGCCCACCGCTCCCCAAGGCGTGGCCTACCGTATCACGTCGAAATACCCTTCACATCCTGCCGGTTCATTCTTCTATCCGCATTTGAGAAGACTACCGCCTATCGCTACGTTCCAGTTTATTAAGGTAATTATACAAATAGCATTCTACGTTTGGATGTGATAGGCTTAACTTATATTTAATTGTATTTATAGGTACTTCTTAATTATTTGGTTGTATTGTTATTATGAATACAACATATTTGTTATTTGTTAATATGTTATATGGTTAACACTAAATTATTTATTGAATATTGGACGTTGTTATCATTATTTTGCTTTCTACTTGATAATGTTGCTACATGTTGTTGAATTTCTACCGTTTGAAAATATGAATTTATTTTTGGATATTCACTGAATGTGGAAGTTGCTATATATTGTAGTGCCATAGTTATCACAAAATTAGTATTTAACGATTACCTGACTTTGTTTAGATATAAACTACCTGAAAAGTGTATGTATGATATTAATTGGAGTGAGAGCACAAGAAATAACAAAAAGTTCTTGATTATGAACAGTAGTTACAAAAATAATTGTCTATTTTAGCTACGCGAGTATGAACTATCCGAAGTGTTCCATCGAAGCAGCGACGATCGAAGGTACGATGTCCTTCAGTTAGACAAACTGAATCACAACAGCATCGACGTTTTAGACGGTAACCGAGCCCTTTCCATTGCTGAAGAAGTGGAGAGGGCAGAAGCACCGAAAATATACGCTGAGGGTTCATTGACAACGCCTGATGGGGCGTATTCTTATTATACTGTGTAAGTTATTCCAAATACGGAACTAGTGTTCTTGTTTCTTAAAACAGGCCAATTAATACAAAATTATGAAGGTGGTTTATTTGTTAATTAACGAAACCAACCTTCTTCTTAACAAGATTAGATATTTAAGAAGATAATAATAAATAGATAATCAACCTCAACAGGGTAAACTCAACGTCAGCGACAACAGAAGAGCCTCGTTCAGCTAACGAGCTGCCTACTTCAGGACCTACAGCTAGCGAGCGGTCAGCGATGCGCAGTTTGGCGCGCCGATACAGAGCCCGCCGGCGTCGTAAGCTCAGAGCTGATAACACCGATCCAGCTGAACGAAGGAAGAGAAAAAGAACGAGTATGTAGTACTAGGAAGTTTTTGTCAAGTTAAAGACTCTTACCAACTCAATAGCTGAATGGATCATACGCCGGTTTCAAAGCGTAGCTTAAAAATGTGCCAAGTTCGATTGTCGGCCAACTGAATATAGGATTTTTTTTTACATTGTCTCGTGTTTGGATTTACTGGTTTGATGGTAATACAAGTACAAATCTAACAAGAGAGCTCTAAATAAGATAGATCAAAAAGAAAAGAACAGATTCAAGTATTTACTTTAATCTTTTTAAACATTCGTTATTTATAAGTAGCGTCTTAGATATACTTTAGATAGATATCCATCTTTGGTGTCTAAGATATACCTAAGATTTGTGTAATATAAACCCACAAAAGTTTTTCTTTCAAAACAGGGTTGCTAGACTGCCGCGTATCAAACTGGGGCGAATGGAGCCCTTGCCGCAGCGACGGCGGCTGCGTCGGCTCAGCGATGCGCGTGCGTCGCATCATCCGCAGGCAACGGCCGGGCGGTGTCCCGTGCCCACCCACTACGCAATCAAGATGGTGTGCGACTAACTGCACTACGCATGAAAACTGGCGTAATAACCTTACGTAATTCCAAATTCAAATACCATTTGTTTTTTTTTTATTCCCTAATCAATACTTGTTTTTTTATACATTTTTCATGTTAATTACTCAAACTTTTCAGAATAGAACTTCCATAGATTTTTTTACTGAGATATTTAATCTAGTATTGTATTGAGTAAACACTGGCTGTTAGCTCGAAATTGCTTTAACTCGTGTTTTTAATTTTTAATAAAGTCCTTTAGCATCTTTGTCTGTCCGTCCAATTGTATCGGTTCATTTTCATTATTTTTGCGTATAACCATTGTTATGGTAATGATGAGTCGCGAATATCAATTGATGAAAGTCTCGCAAGACAATAGAGCTAATGAAATGTTTATAACGCAATTTGCATTTACAAAACTGATTTGACTGACAATAATGCCGCAAGAGCTTAACTGTATTAAAAGGAAGATCTATTATTAAAAAAAAAATGGCTGCGTAATAATTACTTTTTGATCTACGCTTAAAAGTAGACAAAATGGAAGGAGAACTATTTCAAATATGAAAAACAATCGGAAATTTGTCAGCAATTGATATTTGTCTCACGTGTATGATGTAAAATTAATATCGATGGAAACGTTGTAAAAAAAAAAGTAAAGATAAGAGATGACTGTCGATGTTTGGGATAATAATATTTATATGATAATTATAATTTGTTTACCGCTGTACCTAAAGCAAGCTTCTTTCGATATTGTTTGTTCGTCAATTACTGTTAGTTATAAAAGTTAGGATAAGGAAAATGTGACTACACTTGAAATTAGATGTCCAGAGTAGGTTCACGAATTTAAATTTTTATCAGCATACAGTTATGTAACGTCTAATCCTGCCAAGCTTATTTCAGCTAGACTTATGAATCGTATAACTTCTGCCCTAGTACAAAATGGTAAATCGTGTCTTAAGCTAAACAATTTAATATTGACGACATACCTATTTAATATCGTAATATGAACTTTCATGTAGAATATATAAAGATTAATATTTATTTGACTGAATCTATATTTAATTTCACTGCTAGGTGCTTGTAGTAATGAAGCTATCCGGGAAAAAAGATGATAAGGCAAATCTTATGCATATTTTTTTTAAAACAGACTCATTAAAAATTGGGAAAGAATTCTTCTACCATAAAAATAACCATGAATTTGAAAAATGAACTAAATATGTCTTTATCATAATTAATTAATGTTGTTACCTTTTATTAAAGTTATAAAGTCCACATTGCACTGTTAATTTGAATGGAGTAGGTAGCCAAAGCAACCACATTGTCATGTAGTAATAATTTCACAGGTCATCATAGTAGCAATTTAATAATGTACTGATGGTAACATTTAAATACATATCGCTTACATAAGTATAATATGTGACGTCGTGACAGTATCTCAATAAAACTGTAGCATTTGTTTTAGAATTAAAAAATAAATCCAAAGAAACAGCTTTTATTTTTCATATGACTAAGTAAGTGTAAAAAAAGTAATAAATAGTTAGGTCGGTATTTATGTAATTTAATCATTAAGTAAATTGAAAGCCTTCTAAAGCTATATAAATTTCGAGATTTCACAATATTTAATAATTTTTTAATTTTGGAATATTTTATATTAATCATGTATGTATTTTTTTCAGTCATTTATATTTTTTTTTATTCACGATTACTTTGTTTTTTAGAAGTAACTTTTTCATAGTTGTTATTTGAAAAATCTGTATTAAAACTATTGAAGAAAATATTGCTTATACCAAAGAGATTCAGGCTTAGATCTGAACTGAACTTGCAGCATATTTTTTTATTCAATTTAAAACTGAAGTTCTTATAAAATCTTCATTAGCTTAGGAATTCTCGAAATCCAAATTTTATGTAGATTGTTCAGAAATATAAAACTATAGTTAGTGTAAAGAATAGAGCCAAATGAAAGCTGAAAATGTTAACCTTAGTGTGACTATTGGAGTATGTGTATTTTTTACAATGTAAATTATTCTGATTTCAATAATAAAACATCTTAAACAATATTTGTGTTTCAATTGTCTACAACTTTCTTATGAATTATTTATTACATAGAAATATGATATAAAAAATAAGGGCTTTTTGTGTTGCGACGACAACTTCCAAGAAAATGTTTTATATTTTCTCAGCAGTTAAAAGAGTGTATTTGTAATTTTCATTCAGAAAAAAATTAATAAGTATAAACAGGTATACATTTATACGTAGATTTTTAAAACCTCTGCATTTCTGCAAAAAACTGAATTCAATGCTAACGTCACGCCGAGCAAAATCCATTAGTAAATTGAAAAAAACAAAATCCTTATTTGTGTCCGTAATAACAAGAGTATTGTGCTTTTGCTTTAAAATTACAAATACAATACCGAGAAGATAATTCCCAACTTCTAACCCTCTTCATAACTACTGTAAAATGAAGTCATTACACTCCCCGGAATAACACTCTGAAACTTTTCGCAGACGTCAGAGAAGCAGACATAGGAAATTAAAGATTGTATCTCTATAACGAGATGCTCGCATTTAAAGAGAACTAACTAAACATTGGGCGAGCGTTAATTCCAAGCATTTTCAGATATTGTCTTTTACGAAATCATAATGTAAATACTATTAAAGAAAACCTTTGGATGCGCAATATCACCTCGATGTTATGATATAGAAAACTACAATTAAAATCAATATTATATATAACGGTGGGTAGTCAGAAGGGGCAATTACGAAGCCCAAATAGATCGTCCATATCGGAGGACTATCTTTAAAATAACACTGCAGGCGTGTATACCAACGTGGATTTGTTCCATTTTATCACTTTTCATACGACAATATAACGAGATGAGCGTGATGTCGTCGGATGTCTTTACTCCTCGGCGATCGGAAACAGAATGTGTGCCAAAAATGGCGGCAACTTGCTTTTTGTTAACGAACTGTCAAAGTCAGTGTCACCATTCTAATAAAATTAAAAGTATCGATGATCACGCTCTCTATACAATCGAGTAATTAAGTAATCGATTAACTAGCAATTCAAATAAAAGAAACTAAATCAAACGATCATCGTAAAGATGATGCGACATATCTATATATATTACATAAAACAAAGTCGCTTCTTGTTGTCTGTACGATGAGATATTTTAAACTACAAAAAATATCTATTGTTGTTTTCATCAATACACAGATTAATTCATGAGGAAAGTTTATGTAATTTTAATACAGCACTATGCGGCCGAAACTGCTAGTGGATAACTACTAACATTATAAATACGAAAGTAACTCTGTTTGTGCGTGTCTCTTATGTTTTTACGCCTAAACTACTGAATTAATTTTAATAAATCCGGTACACAGATAGAATGGACTTTGGGAGAGGACATAGAATAGTTTTTATCGCGAAAAATAGACTTCTAGGGGCCAAATTCCAATCAGGCGAATCCGAGGGCGTAAAGTTTATTTAAACATGTTAAGTTCGTTTTTAAATTAATGGCACCACTGCTTGGGCATTAGCCTTCCCGCCCTAGAAAGATTCCAATATAAATATAGATCCCTAAAGAATCAAGTTGGGAGAACAAACCATAACCTACGATGCAGGCCTAGCGAGGAATTGGTGGAAGTTGATTTTTGTATATAACGGAGTATACGGCTTAACGTGCCTTTCAATGAGCGGTGGAGCACGAGATAATAACATTTTTGATCACCCATCCTATATGACCAGCCTTTGAAAAATTTGCTTTACCTCTGATGAGATGAGATAGGATAAAAAAATGATCATTATGACTTAATGCTAGTTGAGGTATTCCTAAACAGGTCAACATTGGAAAATTGGCTATTATACATTTTGTGTCAACAACTAAAATAATTATTGCAGACATAGTTTTTGCGATAATGTTGTGGTACAAATATTTTTATTGAATTTGAACAGCATGAAAGCAGTCGAGTATGACAACACATCGATCACATCACAGTCACACCGAGCTCCCAGTCAGAATTCTCAATAATTTTATACGACCTAATGTCTGCAGGCACTACTTCAAGAACAAGCTTTACTTTTTACACAATTCACGATAACGTCCATCTGCGAAAGAGCCATTATCCGCTCGGATTATATTAAATGGATTCATTAAACTTAATGGCAATTTATGCGGATAAATTACCTACCAATAAAACGAGCGTTCGTTAAATTAATAATGATCCTGCATTTCACTACCTATTAATTAAAATGTTGCAAATTTAAAACTGTTAATTAAGAATAGATTAAAATGGGATGTGTGGGTTTTATTGGCATTACCAAGTTGCTCCAAGCTAACCCTACCTGCAGGTGGTCAACCTGCTAATTGACGGAGAGGCTCTGGCGAATCGATTGATGGCGGGGTAACCATCTTTATTAGACGTAACTCACTAAAATACCCCAGCCTGGGATTTTGGGCAAATACCTCCATGGCTGCACAAAACCAATTGTCGCTCCTAGTTTCTGGCCGCCTTGCTAATCCTCAGAATCCCCAGGTAACGGAAGGCCGCCAAACACAACTGACCTGACGTACAATGGACGAACTATGCGGCTCAACGATCTTCTGGCGCAACTAGAAGAAGAACTTGTAAAGATAAATAGCACATCCTTAGGTTATGCGAATGCCGAAGAGAGGGAGAAGAAATAATAACCCCGAAATTAGGACATACTTTTACTTTCGAGAGGGTGACCAGCAATCCCTGGGAAGAGTATACTTCCTGGTGAACAAAACTATTTCTGACAGCGTTGTAGATATTTCCAGTATCTCGAATAGGGTTGCGTACTTCATAATTAAGATCACTGAGAAGTACAATCTCAAGGTTGTGCAGGTTTATGCACCGAACTCAGCACACTCAGACGAAGGAGGTTCCTTTCAGAGAGAAATCTTGAGCCTTACACTCGACTACAATGTTGTCATGGGAGTTTTCAACGCCAAAGTACGAGTACAAAGTTGCAGAGAATCGGTAGTAGGGTTTGGTGGTAAAAATCATCGAAGCCAAATGCTAATCAATTTTCTTGAGAAAGGCTCTATTTCATGAATTCTTTCTTCAAGAAACAGCCTCAAAAATGTGGACATGGCGAAGCTCCGATGGCAAAACTAAAAATGAGATCAAATTCATAATAGCGGACAAGAAGCACAAATTTAAAGATGTTTAAGTAATTCTACTATCGCCTAAGTGAATGTGAATTCACATTTTAATTAACAAAAACGTGTCATGGTGCAAAGTACCACACCGTTTATTTTACCCTAGGTTCCCGTATCCCAACTCTTGGTCTCTGATATTTAAGATCATTTCCTTTTCACTATTAATTTTTTTTTATTTTATTTTTTTGTAAACATGGTATGCTCTTTCTGCGTGTCAGTTCTTACTTACTCTAAGGTCAGTTCGTGAAAAATTCTTCCAACAGTGCACATGAGATATCATTTATCATTAAAAATTAATAAAATATTTGACATAAATTTAAAATAAATAATAATAAATATTTATATAATAGAAATATTAAATTATTGAATCTATATTTATA